TTGTTGTCTCGGATTCTCCAGCATCTGCAGTTCCTACTATCTCTGATTCAACTTTACAAATTTGGATGGATGGCCCCTCTTAATGCCCACAGCAAGAGTTAAGAGCACAACCAGATTTCTTCCTGGTCCATATAGGAACACAAGAACAGGAGTAGACCATTCAGTCTCTCGAGCCAGCTCTGTCATTCAATAAATCAGGCTACATCAGCCATAACTCTATATGCCGGCCTTGGGCCTGTACCCAATAAAAATTTGGATATTTCAGATTTAACTTTAACAATTGAATTAGCATTGTTTGAGGAAGAGTTCCAAACCGTTTCAAACATTCTTTGAATGTAGAAGTATTTCTAACATCTCTCCTGAATGGCCTGGCCCTAATTCTTAGATAATGACCCCGGTTCTAGAATCTTCACCCATCGGAAACAGTTTATCTGCCCTAACTTTCCATGTTTATACCCTGAAGACCTCTGTTAGATAACCCCTTTAACTTTCTAAATTCTAGACAATTAAATGGTGCAGTTGTGTATCAAATCAACATGAGAGCTACTCAGTTATCATTGAGGAACTCAGTTGTAATTCAGGGAACATTTTTATCTTAAAGAAGGCAACAATATAGGTAGGATGGATATAAACAAGTGATGTAATGTATCTGAACACAGAGATGACAATAAAATATGTGACCAATGGCTCATAATTCTGAACTAAGAGCTGATCTGGAACAAAATTCCAAACAATGATATTTCTGTATTGGTGCAATTGCAAAAACTACAGCCAATAAACCAAGATCAAGTCATTCTGTGGTGAACAGTTGATTAAATTGTAATCAACCCAAAATTTGGCTTTATTAACAAATGGAATATTTGGAGTCTGATACAGCTTCCATCATAATGTTGATTAGCATTTACAATAACGAAAGGCTACTTTAAAAGTTCTAATCCAGAAATGGGGATCTAATGTATTTCTATATTAGGTACCAAACATTTACAACCAGTAATTGTTTTTAATTAATTTCCCATTTTATTCATGTTTACAACTTCTTTTAAGCTTATAGAAAATTGCAAGTTAATGTATTTGACACACAAACAGCAGGTGCACAACTGTGTATCTTAACTGAAGTAATGTAAATAGAGATGCTTGCAACATCGAGCACTCAATGCCAAAAAGTGTTTGGAGAAAGCTGCAAGGAAGTCTGATTGGGGCAAAATACAAAAAAAAAGTTACAGGTTATGCAGAGACAAGAGCAAACAAAGTGGTAGTGAACATTTTTAGGCACCATCTGATAATGAAGTGCACTGATAATCAAAAACTAAACAAAAACACACGCTCATGTATCAGATTTATTGCATTTGATGGAATATTTTCTATAATTTATAAAATTCAAAGTAATGTACATGTTTACACGACAGTACTAATGCAAAATTGAAATCCTGGTTTTGACTACAATTGGAAACAGATGTATAGATACATCATCAAATCACGTATCTCAAACTTGCAAAGGCAGTAAAAGTGCTTTAAAGATTTACTTTGAAAAATGATTACACCAGATCTCTTTCAAACTAGTTTTGGGAGTGTTACAGACATTGGAAGTCTTGAAAAAGAGGCAGCATTCTTATTATGGGGCAACTAGGCACAATTCTTTTCAGCTTTAAACAGAGTAAAATACTGCACATGCTGGAAATCTGGAAAAAAAATTCAACAGGCCAAATAGCGTCAATCGAGAAAGAAATATACAATTCATTTACCAGGCTGACAATCTTTCACCAGAATCCTAGCTCTCTCTCTCCAGAAATGCTATCTAACCTGTTCAAAGTTTCCACTGTTTCCTGTCTTAACTTTAAAATTCACCATTGTTTCACAACCGAACATTTTCATTAATGCAATTAAAGAGGAAAATATTGTAAAAAAATAAAAATATTTATCCCCAGGTTGAGAAAATCAATAACTCACACCAGGGTATGAAGTGAGATGGAATTGAATTGTTTCCTTTGAAGGGAAACACCACACGTCCAATGATTAAAAATATTTGTGCACATATACACACTGACACGTTAAAAATGTCAACCACTGATTCAGAATGTGCCAAAGAGATGAGATGATTATTTCGCTACAATTTTTTTTTGAGATGAGTGAAGGACGGGGATAACAAAATGAATTATTTTTAAAGTCAAACTGGATTGGAGCTTTTGACTGGAATTCAAAATATAAAACTATAAAGGGTCTTGAAATCATATTTTAGCATTGCAGTTCATGTAGTTATTATTAAACCATAATAATTTAATATGTTGCTTGGATTTAAACGTGGGCTGTTCTGAATAGATTTTGGAGATGAGATCACATTGTTCCACACTATAATGCTAAGTCACAATTTTGAGAGTTGTGGTTTTTTGGCAGAAAGTATAAAATTGATTGTTATTACCCATCAATAATAAAAATTTTAAATGTGGTAAATTTATATCAGTTGTATCAAAACACTATTTATCATGGCATATGAATTTTGTTTTTGACAAAGTTGAATTGCATCTTATTTTAACATAAACTGGTTTATTTCAATCAGAAGACTTGCATCACTGAACTGATTGGGGCATATATAACTCTCCACTTACGGCACTCTGTTCTGATTTTAAAGTAAGTATTAAAAGGGAGTGTGTCCATTTATTGACTAAATAGCAAAATATGAATACAGATGCTTTCAGGAACCAAAAGGTGTACATACCAAATAGGAAAAAAACATTTCGCAAAGTGCAAAGTATCTCGTTGAAAGCACTTAGTGAACATCCTTACATTTTGCAACTACATGAATGAGACTTTCAAAAAAAACAGAAAAGCAAGTAAACTTTCACATAGTTTCTTTAAAGACCAGAAAAAGGTTCACCAATATCATTATAACTCAATCTAAAGCACCAACAGCAAAAATAAAAATTCAAAATCCAAGCAATGCTACCGAAAAAAATTAAGCCATTTTGCATAACCTGTAATTTTGTAATGCCAATAACATTTTTTCATGTATTTTCCCCAACATTGTATAGCAACATTTGACTAGAATTCTAACCATATCTTACATGACCAATTTTGTTAAGAGGTGTTTGAGCTCATTCCCACACCAGTACTTTGCATTTTCATTTAAATGTAATTTTAGATAGAATATACAAACTATTCAAAATAAAGACTGATATTTAAAACAGACTAATTGCAACATTGACATAGCTGCATTGTAGTGATTTGATGCTGTGCCAGCTACATTAACAGTACAATACTATCATTGATCAAACACATGATAGAGCAAATACTGCACATCTTGCACAGCTAACAGGTGCTGCAGTTCTGTACATGCAGATTCATATAAGCTAATATGATCATACTGTACAATGTAAACAGTGCAGGACTGACAAAATATTCCAATCTCTACAGATCATCCAACAGGAATTTTCCTAGAAATCTAGCCAGACAAAACCAGATCCAATTTTTAAAAAAATGTCACATTCCTTCCCCATTCTTTTTTGCTTTTTCACATATTTGCTGGATATGATTACAGGACTGCACCCAATTATTATCATGAAGCCCAATTTTACAGCCCGGTGAATCTTTTTCCGTTTGCCAACAGCACATCCAGTATGATCGCCCATACGGTAAAACTTTGTAATAGGGTTTTGAATGCCACCGACATGGTGATACATCCCCTTTTGAGTAATGCTTTTTACATTGCTTGCATGGATCATCCTTGTATCGCGGGTCACAAACCCAGCGTGAATCTGTTGCTCTAATATCGTAGTTTTCTATAATGAACTTGAAATAATGGCATGTGCATTTCAGAGCTGCCAGCGTTTTGGTAGGGAGGAACATGAATATCTTCACCATAATGTGGTGTGGTAAAAAGGCCATGTACTGCCGAGGTTCAAGAAGCTGTTGGATTTTGAAGCGTGTTTCTAGAAATTCATGAGATACTTGTCTTCTTAGCGGAAAGAGTTCAGTTAATGAGGGGCATGTGGTTTTGAAAGAGATACAAGACTCACCCTGACCTGTTTCTAAGCAATTTTTGTCAAATATTTTCCTTTCAGCAGTCAGAAAATCATCCTTGCATTGTGCGACATCCTGGAGTTCCTCAGTAGTATTTTCATTTGAATCCAAGTTTTCCACATGGGACTGTTCAAGTGTGAAAAATAATTCTCCAGGAAGTGGTTCCTCACAAGGAGTAGACTCTTCCCAATTAGATCGAGTTACTGATTTGCATTCAGTTTCCTCATTCACCCTACAGGACACCAGCTCCTTATCAACAGCAAAGTCATTTGCATACTCATCCCTACCATTCCCAGGTAAAGTAAAGTTTGATACAAACTTATTGTTCACTTCCCAACATAGAGATGGGGTCTTATGCAACTCCTCTGGTATCCCAACATTACTGTTGAGAATTTCTCTGGTACCGTTTGGCAATGATGCTGTTTCTTTGCAGGTTATTGAAAACTCTTTGCTAGATAAATCCAACACAACACCTGAAGTGTTACTAACTGGAGATGCAACATATGTGGCATCCTCCTGTGATTCAGTGCATTGATTAGTACAGCTTCTGCTTATGTGGCTGTACTGTTTTTTGTTCTCTCCAATGCTATTGCCTGCTTTGGATACCCCTGTGGATGATGTAAAAGGTTCCGCACTCTTGGTGCTTTGTTCTGATTGGTGTTGACTTGTCAGCAAAACCCTCCCCACTCCTCTCCGAAAACTATTATTCCGAGACAGATTCTCCCCACTTCTGTCATGTTGGTTTCTCATGCATTCTGATTCCAACTTAGCTATAACTTCTATAACCCGGACATACTCACCCTGTAGTTTATTATTTTCAGTTGACGTTTTATGGTTTAAATCAAATTCGGGACCTGTAGCAGAAATCGATTCTGATGACAAGGACCCTCCCTTTGAATACGCAATACCTGATATGTTAGCACTGGCGTTTGTAAGTGTTTTACTACAGTCTGGGAGCAGGGAATTTGCCCTTTGTTCTAGAAAAGCCACCATTTCTGCTACAGAGAGAGTGCTACTATGACACAGTCCATCACCATTTTGTTTCTCGTTATTGACAGATGAATTTTCCTCACTATTACTGGTTGTTGGGGGGTCAAAATGCAAACACTTTCTGTCAACATCCTTCACATTATCTTTTATTCTCATTGGTTGATTTTTTACTTTCTCTAGATCTGCGGATTTCCTTCTGCGTTTCGCAGTTGTGACCTCAGTATCCCAGCTGCTTTTTATTTTCATGGAACCAGTCCTGTTATTGCACTGATGTGCTGCAAAGAAAGCAATTTTCTCCTTTGTGTTCCCAGGTTTTATGACTGCCCATATATCCAGTGGTGCCTCTCCTTCTTCTTGATGAATTGAAGGAGGCAGAATATTTTCAGCCACATGCTTCTTTCTTCCCTTAAATGCAAGATTTTCAGCTGGATTCCTCATATTGCACATTTTATTTTGAGAAATGAAACCAAAGGGTCTTGGACACCACAAGCTGATGTGAGATGCCACTGTACTAACCGCAATGGATTTACAACATGACTGTTTGTTATAGGTTGATTGGCATCGTTCAACTCTTACAGTTGCACGCTGGCTTGAGCAAAGCCCTCCAAGTGTCTCTTGGCTTGATTCAAGAGATGCATCTTTCTTTTGAAGCTTTGGATATGGCTTAAGGTGCATAGTGGCCAACCTGTTTAAAAAAAAAAAGACCAGTTACAGTGTAGGTGAAAATTTTCTGCTTTTTATTTATAAAAACATGAATGAAGAGATTTATCCAATATCTTGCATACTATGATCATGATATATCAAAACAAATGATGCAACAGAAGGTTACAGTTTGTTGTAAAACAAGTTGAGAAAAAGACTGGGAGACAAAGCCTATTGGCAAAGTTCCCCTGAAACCACTGGGCACTCCAAAACAGAATCATGTGCATAGTTCCACGAATCATTTTTTTGGAGCAGCTGCACATGCAGAATACTTTAAAATAAGGTAGTTTGTTCACTGCACAAAAGTTTTGCAGTTAGCATTTCCCATGGAGTCTCCTCCTCTGCTACACGCTACTATGCTTCTCTGCAAACTGTGCACACCTTCACTGGTTGTCAGCATCCTTAGCAAACAATACCAAAGCAGAGCTGCAACCCTACATACACAATGTAACAGGCCAACCCATTTATTGATTTAACTTTAAATTTAACGCCAAAATGTCAAAAGTTTGGATTGGCAGAAAGAAAAGCCTATCTTATCTTAAGGGGAAAGCCAATGCAATATTTTTGCTGAAGACCTAACTCAACAATTCAGAGTACATTGAAACCAAGTGAGTGTGGTAAGTAAAACTGTAGCCACATGCCATCTTCCCCAACTCTGGTGCAACCGTCTCCCAAGAAGTACTGGGATAATTGCTTAAATAGCAGGAGAATACATTATCTTTAAAGTGGACTCCCGACATGCTCCCCTTAAACACTGCACTTTTGTCATCTGAACAGTAACACCCCCTCTCTCTCTTCCCATCCCACAATACCACCCACCCATACAGCCCCAAATTCTCATATGGACCTAGGTGGTGACTGAAAATAGCTTCATCCCCAGGTGGACCAGCTCTTAGAGTCATAGAGCATGGAAACTGGGCCTTTGGTCCAACTTGCCCATGCTGACTAGGTATCCTAACTTGAACTAGCCCCATTTACCTCCATTTGGCCCATATCCTTCTAAGCCCTTCCTATTCATGTACCTGCCACGTCTTTTAAATGTTGTTATTGTAACCGCCAAGTTGTCCCTCGGGTCCCTTTTAAATCTTTCCCCTCCCTCACCTTAAACCTATGCTCTCTAGTTTTGGACTCCCCTACCGTGGGAAAAAAAACCTTGGCTATTCACCTTATCTCTGCCCCTCATGATTTTATAAGCCTCTAAGGTCACCCCTCAGCCTCCTACACTCCAGGGAAAGAAGTCCCAGCCTATCCAGCTTCTCCTTATAACTGAAACCCCAGTCTTGGTAACATCCTTGTAAATCTTTTTTACACCCTTTCCTGTTTAATAACAACTTTCCTTTAGCAGGTCAACCATAATTGTATGCAGTATTCCAAAGATGGCCTCACCAATGTCTTATACTGTCAGAATAAGATGTCCCAACCCCTATACTCAATGCTCTGAACAAGGAAGGCAAGTGTGCCAAATGCCTTCTTCACCAAACTGTCTACCTGCAATGCCACTTTCAAGGAATTATGAACCTGCGCCCCTAGACATCTCTCTGTTCAACAGTACTCCCCAGGGCCCTACCATTAATAGAGTAGATCCTGCCCTGGATCACCTTAGCAAAAATGCAACACCTTGCAGTTATCTAACTTGAAACTACATCTGCCACTTCTTAGCCCATTGGCCCATCTACTCAAAATTGTGCTGTAATCTTACATAACCACCTTCACAGTCCACCATACCATTGATTTTGGTGTCATCCACAAACTTACTAACCATAACTATATTCTCATCCAGATCGTTTCTTGGATGGTGCATGGGTTTGCCTGGAACATTTAGCAGAGGAGTTCAATGGCAAGTCCAAAATAATAATTGCTTCAACATGTTTTAATATTTTAATTTTGTAGCTGTTGAACATTTAGATAGCTGTAACTAGCAAAGTTGCCTCTCAATGCTAGTTCAGAAACAAGTAGATTTATATTAATTGGTGATCGCAATTGGTGACTGGTGCAGGGGGCACTTAAATACACAGCAAGGCAGGTAAGAGGGATACAAACAGTTTAGGAAAATTGAAAGGTTAAATAAGTGGACAAAAATTGGCAAGTGAAGTATAACGTGGGAAATTGTGCAGTTGTTCATTTTGGAAGGGAGAACAAAGTAACAGAATGTTATTTAAATGGAGAAAAACCGCAGAGAGCTGCGATACAAATGGACTTGGGATACTTGTGCATGAGACACAGATAAAGAAGATAATCAGGAAAGCTAATAGAATGTTGGCCTTTATTTTGAGGGGATTGGAGGGTGAGTGGGCAAGTCCCACTGGAAATGTATAAGGTGCTAGTAAGACCACATCTGGAGTACTGGGTGCAGCTTTGGTCCCCTTATTTAAGGAAAGATATCATTTCGTTGGAGTTCAGAGAAGGTTCACAAGGATGATCCCTGGCTTGTCTTATATGCAAAGGCTAAATAGGTTGGGACTCTACTCACTGTAGTTTAGAAGAATAAGAGGTGATCTCATGAAACATATAGGACTCTTAAGGGGCTTGACAGGGCAAATACTGAGAGGATGTTTACTCTCATCGAAGAGTCTAGAACCAGAGTGCACAGACTCAATAAAGGAGAGCCAATTTAAGATTGAGATGAGAAGGAATTTCTTCTCTCAGAGGGCTGAGTGTCCTTGGAACTCATTGCCACAGAGAGCTGTGGGGGCAGTCATTGGGTAGATTTAAAGCTAAGATAGATAGATTCTTGATCTGTAGGGGAATCCAGAGTTCTGGGAAAGGACAGGAAAGTGAACATGATGAATGCTGGATCAGCCACAATCTTACTGAATGGCACAGCAGGGTTGCGGGACAGAGCGGCCTACTCCTGTTCCTATTTTCTTTGGTCTTAGAGACAATATGCTATACTCCAAAAAGTAAACAGAAACAGCAGAAAAAGAGTCAGCAGAAAAGTTTGAAGTTGTGAAATTACAAGTGTTTTGATTCTTAGACGAGATTTCTGCTGAAAGGAAACTCCAAGTCTCTATCTAAACCTGCTTTTTAAGATGGGATCAGGAGAGGAAGATATTAAGTGCACAGGGACAGTATATGTGCCACATGTATAATGAACTGCCTGGATATACAACATGGGACAGAACCTATTTATGTGAAGTATTAATGGACTGACTCATAAACATAACATTACTAAGCAATTGTTTCGATACAGGACAGAAGTATTTAGCCTAAAACATTTAAAATAAATGGTTACCATACAAATTGAGAAGTCAGAGTTTGGTAATGAGGCAAGACTGCCTGTAGGGGGACAGAAAGGGACTGGAATTAAAAGTGCAGAGATACAGAACTGTAGTTCCATTAAATCTATTAAAACTGAAAAAGATGGCAACCAAGGAGAAAGTTACCAAGTGTAATAAAAACAGAAATTGGTGGAAAAACACAGCAGGTCTGGTAGTACCCGTGGATTGAAAGCAGATTTAACATGGAGTCCACTGATAGTGTCAAGTGTAACAAATCAAACAGCAAAGAACTATAGGCAAGGAGGGTGTGACCAAACAATAAGACAGCTGTTGTAAAGCACTCTGAAGTTAGGGGGCGAGTGTTTTCTGCAGTTGTGACTGGGTCTCATGTAATTTTACGTCACAAGTGACAGGCTAAGTGACAAAGTGGATATGTAAAGTTTAAGGGTCCTAAGAGGTCTCTGGAAATTACAAAGCCATTTTCAACAGCTGGAATAGATTGAGGTTCAAGACTTTCAAAACAATAATGTCAGACTTGTTTCCAGTTCCAGATGCTGCAAAGAGGAGAGTTAGCTCACAGCCGTGAACCAAGTCATTTGAAGGACGTTTCTTGGATCTTGGGACGATTTCTGGGAGACAAGGACATACTGAGAGTCTGTGTTTTATTCAACTAGGATGGCAGATAACGCAGTCTGGGAGGATTTAGACCAACAGGTAAAAAACAATTGAAAGCTTCCTTGTGGATAGAATAGTACAGATTGGAGCAAGGTAAATCCATTGAACTTTCAAGAGTAGGGAATACACAAATCACAGCAGAAACTAAAAACAGTAAAGGACCATACATGTGTATCACTAATGACAATGGACAGGATTATTCTAGATTAGATTCAACTCAAGAAGAGATACCAGCACAAAAAGGCCAGGCAACCTTAAGGTTAAATACGACAAAGCCAGATACAAACATGCCAGATGCAAATCACAAATCCAAGAAATAAATTTAGGAACAATCAAGATGTGGGCGTATGTGCATGTGTTGGTTGGGGGGAACGAGACATGCAGACATTCAAGATATAAAAGATTTCAAATCACAAAGATTCCACACTTATTATTTTCCAGCACATTCCATAATTCCTAGAGCTACAGTGCTAAAACAGTGAGTGACACAAATGAGACAGAAGCATGGTGGGCCTAACTAAATGATATTAAGGCAAAGTAATGAATGGTTGGAATGTACTAGTCACTGGATCAAGATAAAGAAAGCCCTGAAACATGATGTACAAGTAAGAGGAGAATGTAAGGGAAGTCAACTGTTCTCCAAGGCTTCAATTCTTCAGCATTAAGTTATGATTTTAATAGATGTAGTTGAGAAATGTGTGTTTCTGGATGTAATAACTACTCACATGACCCAAATGATCATGTATTCTATTATACAAGAGGTGACGTTGAAATCAAAAGCTGGTGCAATAAGCAAATAATATTGAAGCAGGCAAGAGTGAACGTTGCAAAACTGTGGCCAGAATATGGTGGAATTTAGCATCTGCCTTACACTAGGAAAACAGAGAACACAAGCACATTTGGCAAGCTATTTCCTAAAATAGAAATGCAAAAAAAAAAACAAGACAAAACTACCTCTTGAGATTGCTCTACCATGAAATAATGGCTGAAATAATGGGCTTCAAAGCCACTTTCGTGCCACTCCCCATATTCCTCAATTCGTGACAGACCAAAACTGTCTCTTTCAGCCTTGAACATATTCAATAATATAGCATTCACTGGGATTGAGAATTTCAAAGATTCACGTTAAGTTCAAAATTAAAACTATCATCTTAGTACTAAATTACTGCCCCCTCATCTTGAAACTATACCCCCTGGTTCTGGATTGCAGAGCCAGAGAAAACAATGTCTTCAAACACCATCACTCTCCTAAATATTTTAATGCAATCATTCCTCATTCTTCTGAAATCGAAAGAATAGAAATACAATTTATTCCAGCTCTCCACAGAGCAAACCCTCTCATCTGATCAATGCAAACAAGTTGGACCTGAAACGAAGGGCCTGTTTCCGTGCAAATAATTCAACGACTTTAACGGAGAGAAAATTAGACGAGTAGCAGTGAGTGACCATTTTGGAGAAAGTGATCACAATACAGTCTTAGCATTATTATGCAAAGGGACAAAAAACAGGGATAGAAGTTCTAAACTGAGAAAAGACAAACTTTCCAGAAATAAGAGAATTTGACAAATACAGACTGGATACATGCACCTGAAGTCAATGGCAAATCAGTGGGAGGCATTGAAAAGTGAAATTCTACAGGCACAGGGTCGACCTGTCTCCACAAAGAAGGGTGGTACTGTCAAATCCACAGCCCCCAATGATCCAGATGCATACTATGTCATATAAAGGCAGAAAAATAGAGTCTATGACTATGTCTTTAAAAGAAGTAACACTTAGGAAGTTTAGAGAAGTCAAGAAAGTATGAGGTGAAGTGACAAAAGGAAACTAGGAAAGCAAAGAGAATACTGCATATTATTATGGGGTGTCAAAAGGAAGCAAACTGCGAAATAGTGGATGTAACAGGATAATTTTCCAATCCTTACTAGACATTGATGAATACCAGAGGAGTCTGGGTCTGTTTCTGAATGGCAGGCAGTAACTAGTGGGATACTGCAGGGATCCATGCTAGGATGACAGCTATTCACAATGTATATATTAACGATTTGGTTGAGGGAACTAAATACAATATCTCCAAATCAGCAGAAGGCACAAAGCTGAGTGGGAGGGTGAATTGTTCAGAGGATGCAGAGATCCTCCAGCTTCTCTGATTTGGATAAATTGAGTGGGTGGGCAAATGCATAGCATAATGTGGATAAATGTGATGTTATCCACTTTGGTTACAAAAACAGGAAGTCAGATTATTATCTGAACAACCATAAATTGAAAGAGGGGAATTCACAATGAGATCTGGATGTTCTTGCACAACAGTCGCTAAAGGTAAGCATGTAGGTGCAGAAGGGAGAAAGGGCAGCAAACTGTATGTTGGCCTTTATAATAAGAGAATTCAAGTACAGGAGCAGGGATATCTTGCTGCAATTACATAGGGCCTTGATGAGATCACACCAGAAATCATGTGCAGTTTCGGTCTCCTTTTTAGAGGATGGATGTTCTTGCATAGACAGAGTGCAACAAAGGTTTACCAGGATAATTTCTGGTATGGCAAGATTGATGTATGAGGAGAGATTAAATCAGTTAGGATCATATTTGCTGGAGTTGAGAAGAATATGGGGGGGAATATCATAGGAACCTATAAAATTCTGACAGTACAAGACAAGGAGGATGCAGGAAGGATAAAAAAATGATTACACAAGGTATTGCTCCTGAGGCTGAGGCTGATATTTTAACATGGATAGAAGATCATTCATTGGACAGGATGCAGAGATAAATGAGCCATTTTCAACTTGGCAGGCTGTGACTAGTGGAATATTGCAAAGATCAGTGCTGGGACTTCAGCTTTTTACACTGTATAGGAGATAGATTGTGATGGTGCTACAATATAACTTGCATTCCTATCTGGTTTTGTGTACCCAGCTGCAATGAAATATATCTGGGTAAGGTGAGTGGGCATCATGGTGGCAAATATAGTTACAATGTGTTTAAGTACGAGATTATTCACTTTAGTCATAAAATAGACAAGCAGAATTTATTCTTAAATATGTGTGAGCCTTGCAAGTGTTGATGGTCAGAAATCCTTGGGTCTACTGGTAGAAGGAACAAAAAAAGTTAGCATGCAAGTACAGCTGACATGCCTGGATGTAGGGTTTTTAGGCAGGATAGAAAGGGGGACTAAAAACAAACAGAATAGCATTATTTGACTCTCTGATCAATATAACTGTGAGGAGGGATAATTATACTAAATGAAGCATCAAATGAGGCCATATGCATGGAGCTTAGAAATAAAAAGAAGACAGCCACACTTCTAGGAGTGTGCTATAGACCCCCAAATAATGGCAGAGTGTTAGTGGAGTAAAATCTCATTTCTTGGTTCAAAGACAATACAGCAGTTACAGTTGGAGACTTCAACCTTCCAATTATTCTGACAGGCTAACTAGCCTGCATTTCCCATCTTCTTTCCTACCTTCCTCGAATAGCAGTATTAAATCTGTAACTTCTGATCGAGACTGTTCCAGAATCTAGCCATTACATCCATTATCCTTGTCGCTCTCTCTTTTTTAAGAATACTAGAACACAGGCCAGTGGATCCTGAGAGATCTTTTGCATTTTAGTCCCTTGGTTTTCTTCAGTACTACTTCGCTGTTAACTTCTTCATTCTTTTATACCCTAGATTAGTATTTCTAATACAAAACATCTATCGTCCATTGTGAAGACAGGCACAATATTTGCTCAACGTTTCAGTCATTTCGTTATTCCCATGATATTTTCTCCTGACCCTGCTTCCAAGCTTTCAGTTTCTACCTTAGCTACAATCTTCCTTTTTATAATTCTTGTGAAAGATTTAAAATGGTTTTTTACATCCCTGGCTAGTTTACTCTGTTTTTCTACTTTGTTCCCTTTTCCTTTTCCTTTTCCTTTGGCATGACAAGCAAGCTAAGCAGGACACCTGACTGTGGTTTTAGAGGGGAGAAGTACAGAAAGGAAAACAATTCACGAATAGTGTCGTTATCATAAAGTAGAAGGTAACATTCAACTTCATATTATGTATTATAAAGGCATGCTCTGGAGAAAGAGGGCAGCTAATAAAAGCAATTGAGAAGGCAGGCAAAAGAAAATGCTTTCATCAAGTATAAATCCTGAAGCAGACTAGAAAACAAGAATTGTATGGGTAGAAGCTAATGAACTAATTGGGACAGTCAAAACTAATGCAGTTACTATTATTAGGAACAGAAAACCTATTGATCCAGATTTTGTGGTCAGCAGCAAACAAATAGCACTCACTATTGTGAGCCCAGATGGTGGTCAGTGGCAAGGCATCTGGCGAGCTGGACTGGACTCTAGTGGTCGGTGGCAAGACGGCATTGTAGTAGAGTGTGCACCCAGCATGTTGGGGGTGGGTGGGGGCAGTGCTTTAGGGGAGACCAGCCACAGCACACAAGAGGGGCTGGGTTGCAGCAACCACAGCATGGGGGGAGGGAGCATGTCCTCATGGCAAAGCCCGGCATGGAATGTCTGCACACCCATGGCTAAAGAAGGACTGTATTTTTTTTAATACTTCATGCAAAGAAGGACTGTAGTGTTTAACTTAACTGATTTCTTCATTTTTCTACTTTGTATCTAGGTACTTTTGTACCTGAGGTGGTGTCAGGAATGGCAACTTTATAAAAACTTTACACTGTATTGTAAACTTAATTCGAATTCGAATTCGAATTCTGTCCACAGATGTGGACTTTTGTACAGCATATTTCTAGTCATTGGTAATCTGATAAAGCATAGTTATCTTCTACATGGAGAGCTATGTGAACAGAGCAATCAATATAATTTGTTGTTCCTTCAACAATTAAGATAGAAAAATCTTTACTGAGACAAGCAGAAACCAAACCAGAACTTTAAGTTAGGATAAATGATTGAATGTAATATCATATACAGAAAACAAAACAGAGATGGGGCGTAAAAGAAAAATGGAATTGAGAGAGATATAGATAAAAAGGATAGACAGAGTTAAAAATCATAATACATAAAATCTCTAATTATCTCTGAAAGAATGATACACCACAATTTTAGAAGTATGTTTTTGGTGCCAGAGCTTGTACGGAGCAATTAAAAACTTATTAAGCCCCTAAAAATTCACTTGTACTTCTGACACATTTATGCAAGTTTTTGAATTTGAATTTCAAATTCAAATATTGTGGTCATGAACCAGCGTAGCAAGTTTGTAGAGGAGCAGGGTAACATGGTCAGGAACATTCAGATTTTAGTATTTAACTGTACATTGGCAGAAATTATCGTTAAAATTACTGTATATTAATAGAGTGCTGTTAGGTTCATTGTAACTGTTAACACAAATTTTGGGAAATTCAAAAAGATTTTGTTCAGAGCAAACAGACAATCAATCAGCAACAGTAATACACTTAAAACGTTCCCAACAGGATAATTTATGATATGGCAAACAGAGAATAAGTTCCAAATATTCCAAAAAAAAATCAGATGTAACTTACAAAAAAAAGGAACAAATGGCACTGAACAATGTATTGTGAGGTACTTTGGGGATCAGTGTTGATTGCATGTACTTGCAATGAAATGGAAAAGCAGCAAAGCTCTACAAGTTTGCAGATAACACCAAACTAAGGAGGAACAGTAAATAAATTACAAACAAGCTGATCAAATGCAGCATCCGCAATTCTTTTGGTTTTGATCAAATGCAGAACCAAATTTGCAGAGAACATTCATTTTGATTATTGCTACATACCTTAAAATATGATCTTTTGCATCACACCTTCATATCTCTTGTACTCAAATTTATCAAAATGAACTTGCACATAGGGGGAAACGTTTACCTGGTGAAGAGAGGCCAAAGTCTTCAAATAAAATAAAAACAATGCAAATTTGGTTAAAAATATTAGCAGACAAAGGATTTAGCAGGAAAACATATTTATAAGATGCTCAAATTCTAACCTTCAATAGAATGAATTGTACTATCAAAAGTCTGTACAAGTACCAAACAAAAAAAAAAAAAACAGGTCACTCCAGAACTCTAAATGTCAGCTTCACCTTTCTGTATTCCAGTGAAATGTCAGCTACTTCTAACGACCGACACACAGACACACCATACTATCCAGAATAAAATCGAACATCCTTTAAAGGGGTGTGGTGTTTGCATCATCGAAAAGTGAGTTGGAGAAAAGTGAAACATAAGCATTAACGGAAATAAGATTCTTGGAATTCTGTGGTTCAGGTACCTTTCATATATTAAAAAAGTCTTAAAATTTCTTAATAGGAAGCTTGCAGACCTGACAAGTAGTGGAGAAGTGGACAAGATTACATGTAGAGTGAGCTTGAACGAGCATAAGCGGGCAAAGGATGTAGGGTGCAGAAGATGAAGGGTAAATTTAGTACAGTATGAAAACCGTAAATGCCACAGAACCCGAGGTAAACAACAATGATATTGCAGTATGATTTGCTGTAGTGGAAGAAAATGAAATACCTGACTGTTCCTTGATTTGCATGGTACAGTCCTTCAGTCAGGCACTGCAGTATGGCTAATAGAGAGCTCAGGTTTATAGCAAGGTGTAATAACGTGAGAGCACAGGAGAGAAACAAAAAGATAGACTGCGGAAGTCTGTTGTATGAATTCATTTTCCTTTTAAACAGATGAAATATTTCATGTACAAATGATTTAAAATTTCATTAACAACTTGTTGAAATTAGATTGGTTTTAATCTTGAGACACAAAAGAACCCAGCATACCCTCAATATTTACAGTTTCACTAGGTCAGTATTACGGATGTTTTTGAAACATCCAAATTCTACAAAACCATCAGGTCAGATCTATGATTTATGTAGGAAAAGGTTATGCAATTTGAAAACCCTACACAAGTTGATTACTGATCAACTAAATCTATGGGTTTCAAACTGTGCTTTCAAAAGTACTTAATGAAGCACAAATTCTTTACAAGTAATTCAGTGGGGCAGGGGGCATTTGGATTAAGCACTGACCCATAACTATGTAACTGTGCTTCACATATCTGCTATGGAATCCACTCCTTCCCTCCAAACAACTTCCATCAATTGTGCCCAATATTACTATTGCTGGAACGAGTGTTAAGTAGGCTGAAATAAACTGATCGTATAATGCTTTCGGCTGTGTCTTTAAACTTCGATTAAAAATAAATGGGGTCTGAGAGTATTCTGAATTCAGCCTGACAAGACTAGCTCAGTCAAGGGACTGGCTGAGCAAGGCCATACCTGGAATAAACAGAATGGGCAAATGTGCCAGAAGAAAAAGAATGGCTGTTGACATGGTCAGTAGAAAGGAATCTACTTGATTTAAGCCAGTGATGGTGGATGCAGGAAGGAAATGATCTCTATTCAAAGAGGTGAGAGTCAGGAGACCCTATTCCACAGCCATCTAAGGAAACAGAGGGATTCACGCTAGCATTGCCAAGGAAAGAAGAAACATTAGAGTGGACTTTACTGCTGGTAAACTTCACAAAAGCAAATGGAAATGGTGACCTAAAGTTACTAATTGGTGAAACAGGCAAACAAAAAACACACTAGTGACTGCAATGGAAAGTGCGATGTGAGCAATGTTCTTTTATCCAATTTATATTATGTTGCCTACTGAAAACAGCATTAATTAAACATTTTCTGTAACTTGATACAGAAGAAATCTTAAAATTAGAATTCTTGCTGTCATCCTATACTTATTAGCTAGAAAGTTTGAATTTTTTTTTAACATCAGTCTCAAAGGAATTATAACAATTCTTTTCTTCTTTCCTGACACAGTTCCTATTGGAAGAAATTAGAAAACAAGCAGGTAGAGTTTCAAAAGGAGTCACAGAACCAAAGGACACAGAAGAGAAATGGGTAGGAAGAGTGGAAAGTCTGATCAATAATGTACATGACCACAAAATAACTCAAATTGCTATGCAAGTCATTCAAGCCCCACTAAGATGTCGAACGTGCACGGCCTGGTGCAACATTTACAAAAGACTTCGACCACTAGTTGTTAATTCACATAGTACTACAATTACTGTATATGTCCAGTTCTGAAGCAGAGCTATTCTGACTGTGAAACTTTAACTCACTTTCTCTCGCCACAGATTCTCCTTGACCTGCTGAGTTGCTCCAATATTCTGTTTATTTTGTATCCCTGATGTTGAAATAACCCTGATGTTGTTCTCATCTGAACACATTATTTACTAATTCCTCAGTTTAATGACATTTGTACTTTTTTGATTCTCTTGTAAAAGCTAGCACTTACTAAAATTCTCACCAGAGGCAATTCCAAAGTAAGGCACGCCGTCACTTCCTCCACTGCTCCCTACATCCTGAGACTTAGCATGACTTCTTACCACAAGGCCTTACCACATCTTCAGAAACAAACTGAAAGAGAAAACAGGAAGTAATGTTATATTACACATATGGAAATACAAAAACCTCTTCAAGTTTGTTGTAAACAAATGTCAGTTCTTTAATTCTCCTTCTATCAAATATCTATAAAAGGACAACAGACTGTGAAAACATGAAGGAAAGTTTCATTACCTCCATTAATTTATTTATACTAGAAGGAAACAAGATGCTAGTTTTCCATTCCATGGAAAGTTGAGTGTAATTTGGGAAATTAGTTTACTGCGCTAACATTTAATTCAACAAGTGAGATTACCAAATAGTACAATTACTCAAATCATTAAAAAAATTAGAATTTGAAATTAATATTCAAAGAACTGACCAGTATTCGTCGCACCTTCTCACGATCAACAGCGAATGAAATAAATATATACATGCAGCACAAGAAAGCAGCAATGGTAGTAATACAAAACATGAGCTCAGTGAGAAGGGCTCAATTACTGAAGTACAGGGCTGTCAACAGATTTCTTTATGTTGTACTCTCTGCAGACCTGCAGGAACAAGACAGCATTTCACAACTAGCGTAAAGGAATATCACACCATATTATTCAAGAAATCTAGTCTTGATTGAACATCTGTGCAGAGGCTCTTTACCCAAGAAACAAGCCTGTTTTTCTGTTTTACTAGCTACAGTCACATCCCTGTAGCACGGTATTAAATCGGTTTGCAGTAACATAAAAACTTACAACTCAATTACTTCGAGGGTTCACCTTAAAAATATGCAGATGAATTCAGGCATGATCAACAAGCATGCAACAAAGTATGTAACAAAGCACCAGTCATCTATGCACAACTTCAGTGGTCAATACTCAATTTGTCGCACAAAGTAACTGCCTCCCAGCAAACTGATTCTGTTCTTATGACTCCACCCATAGCTTAACCAAAACAGGTAAGCCTTCTTGGGCTTTGAATTTTTCAGCTCAAACAAACTGATAAATGAAGATCCAAATCTGCATAAAGTTGGCTAATGGCTGATTTTTTTTTAGGTGTAACCCTGAGCTGGAGACAAAGATTAACTGCTCTGTCAGCCAACTCTTACAGCAGAGCACCGTTAGCTGCTTACTCATCCAACCAATTTTTCAATATGTTGTGAACTATTAGAGCAGATAGAGTACCAGAAAACATTTCCTTCAGTTAATCCTGTATTTTCTGTGAAAGACTGCAATAAATGCAAAAATATTACCATTTTCGTAAGCGGTTTGAGTCCAATAAAAGAAAGGAGCCACACAAGTACAATTTTGAGATTACTTCATTCACTGGATGTTTTTCTCTCTAAGTTCTGCCTTTGAGAAAGCAGATTGCAGTACAATTCCATGCATGCTAGCTAACCTCTGATACCTCAATCATTGTAGCAAATTTTAAATTTATCAACATATAAAGTGAGTGTCTGCAGGCTATTTAACCATAGGCAAGGAGATAGAATGGCATCACAAGAAAGTTCAATTCTGTCCTATTTACATTTTCAACAAGGGAGATACCAGAAAAAGTAGTCTCTCAATTTGAGCTTGGGGCAATTGTGGATCAACCACAGCACCAAAGTATAAGCAATTAGGTGAGCAAGAGTTCAAAATTGCACAGCAATCATCTATCTAGGGAAAATAAAAAGCTGCTCCATTTCAGATGACGATTATAAAAAAAAGCATTTCACCTGGACCATCTCTGATACCTCTCTCCTTCCTGGACCTCTCCGTCTCCATTTCTGGTGACGCCTCGAAACTGATATCTATTTCAAGCCCACCAACTCCCACTGCTATCGAGACTACACCTCTTCTCACCCACCTTCCTGCAAGAATGTGATCCCCTACTCCCAATTCCTCTGCCTCTGCCCCTAAGATGGGGCTTTCCACTCCTGAACATCCCAGATGTCCTCATTTCAAGAACTGCAAATTCCCCACGTCAGTGGTCAAAAATGCTCTCGACTGCATCTCTTGCATTTCCTGCACCTCTGCCCTCATATTCTCTCCCGCAACAAAAACAAAGACAGAATCCCCCTTGTCCTCACGTATCATCCCACTAACCTCCGGATTCAACGTATCATTCTCTGCCACTTCCACCACCTGCAATCTGACCCCACAACCAAAGATATATTTCCCTCCCCCACCCCTATCAGCCTTTCATAGGGACAGCTCTGTCAATACTCAATTTGTTGCACAAAGTAACTGCCTCCCAGCAAACTGATTCTGTTCTTATGACTCCACCCATAGCTCAACCAAAACAGGCAACTCCCACGTCCGCTCCACACTCCCCACTAGCCCCACCACCATCGGCACCTTTCCCTGCAAACACAGGAAGTGCTACACCTGCCCCAACACCTCCCCCCTCAGCTCCACCCAAGGACTTAAAAAATCCTTTCACATCAGACAGAGGTTCACCTGCACATCTGCCAATGTGGTCTACTGCATCTGCTGCCCCCGATGTGGCCTCTTCTACATTGGTGAGAGCAAGCAGAGGCTCGGAGACCGCTTTGTAGAGTAACCATGCTCTGTTCGCGACAAACAACAACACCTTCCAGTCACAGATAGTAGGAACTGCAGATGCTGGAGAATCCGAGACAACAAGGTGCAGGGCTGGATGAACACAGCAGGCCAAGCAGCATCATAGGAGCAGA